GATTTCCTGTTGGATTCTTACAATATATATTGAATGTCATAACAGATTTGTATGTCTGCTCATATTAATTGCTTTTTATTTCGCATATAATTAATAATTAATAATGTTCACGTGCTAATAATCTCTTGCTTTTAGTGACAGGATAATTCAATATGGTATTATGGATGATACTGATACATTTGTGAGTGAAAACTCATGGACTGTAGAGCTGCTTTGTGATTCAATGAAGGCATTTAAAATTAGCTGGTATGTTTATATAATAACAATTTATATAGTGACCATTATTATTATATATATAATTTAAATTAGTATTAATATTAAATCTGTATTTATATATATTTATTTAAGGGCTGAGCATTATTCTGCAGGCTTAAAGGCCCGCATGGCAAATCAAAAAATGGAAGGAGATGTAAGTGTAAACCTCAAGATTGAATTTGAGTGGGCTATATATATAGTAATAGTATTAAAATGCTAGATAGACATTTTTATGAATTGCACAGAAGATAGATCAAGATCATCTGAATATAACATCATCCTAATATTAATGTTTAATATTTGGCAGACTCTTTCTGGCTAGGTGTAGATTGAACATTGTATTGTTGACAGAGGAATTGTCATATATTAATATTAATATGTGTATTATGCAATAATCTAACAGTAGAAGAGGAAATGCCACTATTATTATTACAAGTTGGGGAGAGATGAATCACTTTAGTTTATAGTTATCACTATTTGTTTCTCTGATCATCTCTCTGGTTTGCAGAAAACCCAATAAAATGATATCTGCTTTTGATTATGATGAATGAACAACAGTACAGTCAACTGCTTTTAATATTAATTCAACTGCCTCCATTTTGGAGTCCTCAGTCAAATTAACATATAAGTCAAATTAACAGCAGATGTAAGGAAAACAATAATAAAAAAACCAGGTCTTGCTCAAGCGATTGAAGTATATATTAAAAGTTGTCAAAAACGAAACCAACAAAGAACAAAAGTTATTCGCCAGATATCGAAACGTTGTGGAACGATTTGAGACAATTATACGATAAAAGAACCGAATCCAAATTTTCATTTAAGAAAATGTCATTCGAAATTTATAAATTACTTCTCATCACGTGACCAAAGAATAGGTCAATGGCTTTGGGTCCGAGTATTTCCTCCCATGCAATTACTCTGGTGCATTTAATAATAATATTATTATTTATATTTTCAAGAATGCGCATTCAAATTTGAATTATTTTTACATGCTTGGCTTTTTGATTGCAATTGTATCAAAGCGAACTTTGATTGAGCAGTCTTATCAATCTTTCGTTGACAATGGAGGCGTTGGTGGGAGTTTTTATGTTGAATTCATTTCCCTTACCATTACGTTTCTTCAAGTTTTCGCTTTTTTCTCAGTTCATAATGTGTTGGTTGGTGTTAATGCTCGTTTAGTAGTTATAATTTTTCGTTCTTCCTGATAAATTCATAAGTAATTTTTCTTGATCTAGATATTCCTGGAGTGTTTGGGAGTTATTCATTTTAAAAACATAAGGCGCAATTTTTTTCTCCTCGAGCTTTTTTAAAGTACTTCTAATGGTGTTGTAATCAATGGTGGATTTAATGTAAATTAGTTTTTATATCAATATTTTTATATATGAGATAATCCTATATTAATCCTGTTATGGTTTATATCAATCACATTCTGGTATGATAAAGTGAACATTAAAATTAACCAGTCCATAATAATAAGTTATGAATGAACACCATTATTACTTTTCAAAAACGTCATCAGCCATACTGGTTATGTATTATGGTCAATTTACAGCCACATTACAATCAGTCTCGCATTTATAAAATGTTCACTTTGTTGCAGCATGCTCCATATAATGTGATAGTAATTCCGTTTCAACTCTCTCCCACATTTGCTTTTCATAGCCTGAAGTTTTTTTATAAAATATGCCACTGCGTATGATTCTGCGTAATAATGATTTTATTTTTCCGCGCCGGTAAATTAAACATGTTATATAACACGTAATTGACAGTAAAACGACAATCGCGTGACCAACTGATGGATAAATTGATCGCTTATGATAGAGGGTTATCGGCTTTTCGCTCTACCAGTACGATTACCAGGAAGAGAAAAAATAAATATATTTTTATTAAAGTACTGATGAGCTACCCTTTTACAATAAGCACTGAATAATTAAATTTGATTTGATAATTAAAGGGCGTGAAGGGGATATCAAATATTGTTAGTGAGTTACTGTCCCGACGCCTGTATTTCTATCACGATATTAATATTTTACGGGCATCCTCCGTGCTACAATTACGTCTAATAGACCTCATGTAAATAATTGATAGGTCAGTTCATTATTTATTGGTGAAACTCGTTCTTAAGTTACATTATCAATATGCATGCATGCGATGACATTTACGCATCATAAATAACCATCATTTATCGTAGAAAATGTGTTAAATTTTGATAAAAATATTGACTTTACTTTTAGCTCGGCACATTTTGCTAAATTATTGACTGTTACCCACAGATAATTTAAGATGTTTATTAATATTTGCGACGTGTTTTAGGATATTGGCCATTTTCGCACGTCTTCGGCACACGGGCGAAACAAGATATCCAGATCGGGATAATCAATGTTATAACAAAATCTTAGACTTTGTTCAATAGAAAAAAAATTCTATTCCTAACACTGGATCTGGTTCTCAAACTTATGGGTGATTACCGAGCTTAGCTTGTACTTACTCTTATTCCAGTAAATGCATTACTTAATGCTGGTTTAGTTTCGAATAGTTGATACAGTAGATTATCGAGCACGCGTTTATCCTAACATTCTATAGCAACCAGTAATATAAACGTTAGAGATAATACCCAACATGCGATAATCATCACGCACAATCTTTGAAACGGTTGCCTCGTGACTTGGCTAACACCTTGCTCTTTTAAACGACAATTTCAGGTTCCTGGACACCGAGTAAACCTCTCTTTTTTGTTCTCGTCTCCGTTCGTTAAAATTCCCTTAAAATTATAACCACTTTTATTCAACACGTGTTCGTATTATGATTGGTCAGAATGCATCAAGTGGTACCTGAGAAACTAACCTCCACTAATATTGTTTGAGGAAAGCTTGATTATATCTAATAACGAGACGTACTATTACTATGAAATTTCATTCTATCGAGGGATAATCTAATAATTTCTGGTTTTGTTTTAGAGACTTCTTGACTATAATGCGAAAAGGCCAAGTGTTTTAGTTTTTGGCGACTTTATCAGGAATGAAGCAGATAACTATCGTGGTATATTTAATTACTGAATACTAAGCGAGAGCAAGGAATATAAAAACAATTATTGAAATGAAGGACTTCGATTGATCTCGCAATTTTTGACCGATTCCGCAGCATTTGTGCGCCACAAGATTCGTCGCCATTCGGAGTTGTTTGCAAGTACTTCAGTCACATTTCGGATGCCTTTGTACCTTTGCCTTGCGCACCGTTTTTTTATCTGAAAGAAAATTCTTTTCGCTATATGTGAGACTTATACTAGAATGGAAAAGAAGATCAATATAAATTATATCACAAAGTAGCTGAACAAGGAGATGTCAATGCTCAATTTAATCTTGGTGGGTGTTATGAGAATGGAATCGGAGTAGAGGAAAATGATCAGAAAACAGGAGTTGTTAGCAATTGATCTTTCAGCCATGTGATTTATTTCAGAAATTTTCGATTGGTATATTTTGATCACATGCAAATAATTATTTGTGTGACCGCAAGCATCACATGAGAGATCATTGACTTTTGTTTTACTATCGCGAGGAACTTTTATTCACAACGATTGACTTTTGTTTTACAAGTACACAGTGGCTCTCTTTATAGTGGAGACACAAAATCCAACAGTTTTCTACACTATTACTATAACGAGCCATACACAAAAAAAGAAATCTCACCATATTAATGTATTTAATAATATATCATGTGACATACACTATAGCGAATTTGATTAGAAAGTGGTTTATTTCGTATTAACACGCAAGGAAAAGCAGTAAAAGTTTTTAAGCTGAAAAAAAAGAAGATAAATGATCGCAACTTCACTGAAAGTATTGAATAATGCTAGACTGGTTATGGTGCTTGTTTTCAATATCATTTCGAAGAATTTGATGCTTTAAACTATTTAACGTTTTCATAGTCACTTTTTTATTTCGCATTATTATCTTTTATTATTAACAAACAATCTCACACATTGTCTAAAATAATAGAAACTCTCGTATTATTATAGTTCTCTTAGTTCTTTATAACAAGTAATAGGCCTTGCTTTATTATTTTTTGTCAATTACATACTTTGCCCCAGTCAAGGCAACACGATCTTTGAATGTTTTTTGACCACCTCTATCCTAGACTGTGAGAGAGCCATATCAACTGTCTGTTCATCCATAACAAAGAAGAAAAAACTTTCTTCGTTCTAATCTGACTAATCATTACCCCCTCCACTATATCGATTTCGTACTACATACACTATATAGAGGCGCTCTGGACTATAATTAATCAAGCATATTTCATCCACTAACCGAAATCTGCATAGTTTCTATATAAATACACTATATAGAGCTAGTTTAATTAGGAGGAAAAAAAGTTTCCAACATTTCTCCACAATAACAGAAATCCACTGTAACGGAGGTCCGCTATATATATAAAGAGAGCCACTGTGTAATAGTAATAGTATAAGTAATAGTTCAAAAAATTTCAGATGTTATTGCAAAAAAAAAAACCAAAAAAACAGTAGAAATTATTATTAATATTAATGGTTAACTTGCCAATCAATAGTTTTTTTTTATTACTGTATTATGATACCTTTATATTACTGAGAATTATTATTTTCTTCTCCTCTGCCTTTTAGCCCTTTGTTGCCGTAAATCTTCTGCTGGCTTCTGTGTTTCTTCTAAAAACCAGGCAATATGTCCAAGAACCGTTTTGACTTTTAACTCTATATCTTCGCTTTCATAATCAACCAAGATCGATCTTGATAATTTGAAATTTGGTTTTCCGTTACCATCATAAGAGCATTGTATAAAACGCCATTCTTTCGCATCGGTAATGATTCCAAATGTTTTATCTTCTTCCTCCATCACATCAGCTTTACGCTTGCGACAATTTGACAAAGCTGATTCAATCTGAATAGCATTCTGTGCAACGCCTTTTTCAAAATCCTTGTGCTTTACTTTTGTCACACCAACAATTCTTGAATTTTGTAATTTAATCGCATAATCAACTGGTCCATGTCCATAATCTCCCTTGATATATAATCCTGGTATGACATTAATATTAAACTTTTCTTTGTATAATGATGCGCCAGCAACAAGAAATGGAAGCACATAGGTTGATCTTGATGACTCATTAAAATCCAAAGGAACAACCCCACACAAAAACTTTAAAACGGACATTAGCATATCCTGTGAAGATTCATCTTCCAAATCCTTGCTTCCACAAGCAAAAGACGGAAATCTCGTTAATGATGCGGCTTCATCTTCAGAACCAATTTCATAAAGCTCACACACGTCTTGGAGATCATAGTCCGAAAACGGTTTTGAAGGAGTTTTTATGTATACGATGAATTTAAGTTCATTTTGTGAAATAAATCCCCGAAGCATGTCACGAAAATGTTGATCATTTCTGGGTTTGTGTTTTATACTGCCGTTCCCGAACTCAAGCGTTGCACTATTATTGCTTGCAAGTGTTGGTGTCTGTTCAATGTCATATATAGTTTCTTTTAAACCTTCAAGGGTCGCATGATCAACATTTACAGTCCACTTAAATCCTTTCTTCAATTTGGAGTGAACAATGACATGAAACTCTACAAAATAACAGTAAATTAATAAAGAACTCACTGAAAATCCAATAAAATCTCAATATTTTATACATACCATGAAACTGTGCCTTCAAAGAGGCGATTTCATTCTTTAAAGAGGCAATTAACTCCAGCTCATGACCTGTTGCAGATTCTGAATTGAATAATTTTGATGAAAGAGGTTAGTAATAAGAATTACCAGCCCAGTGATGTGATAGAATTAGACAAACCTTCAGTTCCCAAGCTTGACAACATTTCTCAAACATTTGATACATCCCGACTGAAGGTGACAGTTGTTCCTTTAACATGTGAGAATGCAAAAAGGTAAAAAAAAAAACGAAGTTGATTGACAATGCAGTTAAATATAGTGAAAAAGCAGAAAACTAAATGGCAGAAATACTTGGTGAGATCAGTGGATGGGGAATAAAGAGAAGACAGTAACAATAAAAGACATACTGCATGAGCATCGCAATGGAAGAAGTCAACTCCAGCTACAGAATGACACATATTACTACGCCTCCTTACACTACTCCATGTCCCCAACGCCCGAGTCACAAAGTCGTTACGCAATGCAATAAATAAGAATGAGAGTGATGAATGTAACAAAAACGAAGAATTGGCACACGAGTGGTAGCAACAAGTGGTTAAAAATGATGAAAAGCGAAACTAATAATAATATTCCATATGATTATACACTCTACCCTACATACACACTACTCACTGGGTTTCTGCAGCAAGTCTCTCACAGTTTTACCCCACCCTTCCGCCTGCCTCATCCAGAATGCTTTCTCCTCATCCTCGGTCTCCGCCATCTTCTTCTCCGCCTCTTCTAGCTTCCCCTTCGCATAGTTTACGTCTTGTTCGCTGGTTGACATTTTGATTTCTGCGGAAAGATGTCTCACACGCGGATGTGATCTATAATGCTTAATCAGTGACGTATTGCTAGGAACTTTCTAGACCTTTTCGCAATGTAACTAAGTGACGTATTGCTAGGATCTTTCTAGACCTTTTCGCAATGTAACTATTGTTCCCCTATATGCAGGTGACCAAAAACAATCAATGCGCAGAAATTCGCGTTAAACGGGTTAGCAATACTAATACATCATTAAAACAATCTACCAATACGCTCCAAAAACTGCTTACATTCACAAGCGAATTTTTGTTTGGAGTATTTATTGGCTTTGTTTTCGGCCTGTTGCTAAATGGCATGAGTTATCCCTTAGTCTGTAGGCCAAATTTTGACGGATTTGCCCTTTAATTTTGTTGTGCAATTTTACGAATATTGTTATTATGCTTTCTGCACTTTGATCATTAATAAATATTATTTACCTTGTTCTAAACTTTCAAACAAGCTACATATCTTAGCAAAAAGTAGCACATACGAAGAATAACACATCTTTAAAAATTGTTTTTGTAAAAAAATTTATGTAAAATTTTTAGTTGTTTATAAAATTTACTTTATTGAGACTATGGCAGACCCCCCCTATTACTAGACAGTATTTTTGTTTCACTTTATTCCGAATCCTATGAGCTAAAAATCTCAACAAACCGAATAGTTGTTGACGAGTAATGAATTTTTAAAGATAACTACTCCGACCCCTCGAGTTGTGATATTTATGGATGTAATTTACTTGCCTTGCATATTTCCATTTGTCTCCAATGTTTTTGCTTTTTTCAGAGTCTTCACTCTCCTGTTCTTTCTCCTCAACATGATCCACAAGCTCACCCTATCTCTTAATCTACTATGATTGTTTTATGGAAATTACGCCCAAAGTACCAAGTACTGCGAACCAAAAATGACTTCTGGGCTAGTGGTCTGGGACATTTTCATACAGAAAATTTATTAATATCACTATTGACACAGTTTATTATACGAAAGTGTAGTATTTTGTGACTTCTATTCACGACGAACGATAGTCGTATGATTTAGGGTTAATCGATCTGCAGACTGAATGAGACCAGTGTAACCGAGTATCACGTGACTTTGTATAATACTAGCCATGAGGTTTCCAACAAACTATTACTATGTATATATTCAGTAATAAAGGAGATATAAAGCGCTTTTATCAGTGAATCAAAATTTAGTTCAAATTTGAACGGAAAACAGTCTAAGGGATAATAGTCAACTCCACAACATGGGAACGTTAACAAAGACTATGAAGTCCAGAAAGTTGTCAAAAACGAAACCATCGGCGAACAAATTTTATTCGCCAGATATCGAAACGTTGTGAACGATTTGAGACCACAGCACAAATGGTAACAGCCAACATCCGCTATCAGGACTAAATTAGATGAATACTGGACAACTGTGGACAGTACGGGCTTATATAGGAACAATTCTTGATCCTCGCTATAAGCTGAGTGTATTTGAGGAGAGTCAACGACCCACACCAACCATGCAACTTCTTCAAGATAAACACGATGAATACTCTCCTTCTATTGTCACTCCCGCACCTACCAGACAGTCTCCCCGAGACAATTATACGATAAAAGAACCGATCCAAAATTTTCATTTAAGGAAACGTCATTCGAAATTTATAACTTACTTTAAGAAAAAGCTGTTGTAGCTTCCACAATCTGCAAATCAGAGGCGAACCCGCAAGTGTGCTATCATAATGACTGATGACGTTCATCTGAACACATGGGATGACAGAACACTTGATGATGGAGTCTACACACAGTTGTCAGGAATGTATCAGTTGGGGAAGGTGTTAAGGGGAGAATTCAGTAAATTGGTTATTCAGATGATGGAAAGGACTTTGTGAAAAGGTTGAAGGAAAAAGAGATGATAGCAGAAGAAGCACTAAAGCACAAATGGATTCACACAAATTCGTAACTCAGCACATGACAATTTGATAGTTTGGGCAATTTTCGAATCCTTAATGAGCAAAAATGTAGAGAATGTATCTGTACGTTCAGTAATCGTTTGGATCCCACTGAAATATTATGATAGAAATAGCATGCTGTTCTTACGGGTAAAAATGTCTATGGACGGCAAGAAATTGCAATTTTTTCAGTATAAGTAAAAATAATGCACTTTCGTAAACTTTCACCTTGTGTGATTTGTTGCATCATGCCCATATAAATTTTATTATAATTTTTATTATTGCTACTATTAATAACATTACTACTATCGTTTATTTCTTTATTTCATCGTCGTGGTTTACGTTTTCTAACGTCGAATTGCCCGATCGTCTTTTTCCGCAGAGTTGTTCTCTGAAGATAAGTGGAAACTTTTTACCATGCTCAAAATCAATAATGACATACTGCTTAATAATAGGATCATAGACTATGTTTGGAAACCGAATATCACAGTGAAGATAACCTCCTTTGTGAAGTGGAGCAAGTCCAGAGACCAAATCTTCTGTCATCTTTTGTCATTTTTTGGTCGAGATTTGATATCCCTAGTCTCCAGTGTCTGGCTCACTAAACCAAGCGTGTCCATGCTGCTCGTGTCTATTTTTCTCCGAGTTTTTCTAATAGTTTTCCAATAATGCCCCTAGGCAAGGACTTTTGACTCGGCTTTTTTTTCTTGAAACATTCCAGTTTCTCTTGTGTGGAGAGTTCCGTTTTTGATAGATCGGCAAATTTTGATTTCTTTTTGATACATTTGCGGAAAAGTCACGTTTTTGACAATTTCCAGGAAATTATCCGACGCGCTGTTCTTTCCTGTAAAACGAAGAGAAAAATTACTTAGTATAAATAATGAATAAAAGCAATGTGAAGCAGTGAATCGCGACTCAAACTTACATTATATTGGACAACAAATCTTTTAGTAAGTCATAATTAATTGATTTATAATTTGCTCGTGGTTTTCTTTTTGGAGCTGCAACCTTCTGGTCTCTAATAAAAGATATAGTGCATGAGCATCGCAATGGAAGAAGTCAACTCCAGCTACAGAATGACACATACTAACTACGTCTCCTTACACTACTCTATGTCTCCAACGCCCGAGTCACAAAGTCGTTACCTGCTGGTTTGGAAAAGGTCTTTAAAAAGCCGACTTTTTCGTCGTCGCTTTCGCATGTGTGGACAAAGCAGCTCTTGCGTCCTTTCTCTGAGCGGGATTCTTCACAAAATAAGCACGCAAAGCGGTCTTTTCGTCTTTGGTAAGGCCAAGACGTGCAATTTCTTCATACAATTTCATGCTGAGACAAGTAAGTTGTTTTGTGCTGCGCGATATACTAACGCTGATCAGTGGCTTAATCAATGACGCGTTCCTAGACCTTTTCACAATGTAACTATTGTTTCCCTATATGCAGAAGGTGACCAATGATAATCAATGCGCAGAAATTCGCATCATTTAAACTAATAAAGCAATCTACCAATACGCTACAAAAAATGCTTACATTCACAAGCGAATTCATTTTGGAGTATTTATTGGCTCGGCCTGTTGCTAAATGGCATAAGTTATAACAGTCAACTCCACAACATGAGAATGTTAACGAAGGCTATGAAGTCCAGAAAGTTGTCAAAAACGAAACCATCGGCGAACAAATTTTATTCGCCAGATATCGAAACGTTATGGAAAGATTTGAGACAATTATACGATAAAAGAACCGAATCCAAAATTTTTATTTAAGAAAATGTCATTCGAAATTTATAAATTACTTGATATTGAAGAAAAAGCTGTTGCAGCTTCCACAATTCGAAACTTTTTATCTTCAAAGAACAACTCCGCGGAAAAAGACGAGCGCGTTGGATCGACGAAAAGGAAAATGTAAACGACGAAGAGATAATGAGCATAAAATAAAGAAATAGATAATAGTGATAGTATCATTAATGATAATAATAGAATAAAAAATAATAAAATTTAAACTTTGCCCAAAGAATAGGTTATACTCATCAATGGCTTTGGGACCGAGTATTTTCTCCTATGCATACAATATCAATGCCATATTAATATTGCACAATCAGTGTGGCACATGATATATTAATATACAGATGGCACTCATTCACAACCTCCACCTACACCATACATATCAAACCCCACACTCACTCTTCAGACACAATCCCACCATGAAAACATTTTGAACCGACTCCTAGGACATAGTCTCTTCCTCCATTCCACTGATATACTAATAGATTCTCATTCCACCCAATCACTCATTCTTACCTCCAAAAATATATACCGTAGAGCACTGAATATAGTACCCCCTTTAAATAGTACCCCCCTATATTAGGACCCGGGTACTATTCAAGAATTTTTAGCGAAATTTTTTAAATGTACCCGGGTACAATTTAAGAATTTTTAG